AGAGGGAGTGAGACAGCAGCCCAGGGAGACTAGGGTCCAGGAGCAGGATGCACTAATTATGGAAAGAGGAGAGGGTGTGGAAGAGGCCAGAAGAGGGGGAGACCAAGTAGGGCTTGACCAAGCAGAGTAAGGTGAGGGTTCTGCACTGAAATGCACAACAGAGCAGCAGGACACACAGAGCTTCTCACCATACACCAGCCTGGGAGGGGGCTGACCCCCAAAACTGAGCTAGCCTACAGGCCCCCCCGCCGTGGGCAGCCTCAAGCCTTGGGGCCAGAAAGCCAGGTGTGTCATTTGAGGGTCTACATTAGAAAAGAAACTTCTGGATTTTGATTTCTTCTCCTTCTTTCAGCATATCCACTGAAATGACCTTGCTTCTTGACAGCCTCAGGCTCCATCTCTGTCTGTCTCCCTCCCCTATGCCCCCTCCCTCCTCTCCCCTCCTCCCTCTTTAACGACAGATCTTATTTCTTCAATCCCACTTTCCAGAGCTAGTGTGTGTGTCTGTGTGTTGTTGGAGGAGCGCCCTCAGGAGCATGGGGGAGCAGCGATGTCCATGTCAGGAGGAGGAGATCATTCCTCCTTCTCTTTCCCTCCCTGGCCAGCTGGAAATGTGCCACGTGACCAACGGATCTAATTAACTGAACTTTCAGTCTTGACAGAAGGAGGCTTTAAAAAAATAAATATATAAAGAACTCTAGCTTTCTTGGCTCTCAGCCTCTTGAGAGATAAGGGACAGGATCTGATTGCAGGGAAGTGGAGTCCCAGCTCCCTGATTCTCGCTGCCAGGGGCAATCAGCTGTGAGCTGAAACCTCCATCTTGAAAACGCCATGTGGAATGAAAAACCCCCGAGTGCACAAGAACGGCGACTCAGGAGTCCTGGGGCTCAGACCCCACGGGAAACTCGGCAGCAGCAAAGCAGAGATCAGAGGGTAAGAAGGCGTATCCTTCTCGCACCTTCCACCGGGTGCCTGCCCGGGGTCCCCAGGCAGGCTCCTCCTCGGTGCCACCTGCTAGCCTCCCCAGGGTCACCCGGTGCAGCTCCACTCCGTGCCAACTCCCTCTTGCAGAAGCACTCATCTCTCAGGGACGTCTTCCCAGACCCAGCTTTCTCGGCCTCCTGGCTCCCCGGGGCCTCTCACGGGCCACCCAGGCTGTCCGCCCTCCCACCTCCCGCTTGCCCAGCCAATGGCTATGCGCAGACCTCCAGCTACACCGAAGGGGCATGCCAAAGGGACGCCAGTGGCACACAGAGCAAAGGCAGAGCCACTGCGGATGGCCTCAGGGGCCCTTGGAGGTGGCAGGAGGACACAGAATCCTCCCAACAAGGGCTGCAACCTCAGACGGAGCTGCAGAGCATGAAAAGCCTGTGGGGACATTATTTTCTAGTGAAAAGAGGAAGTGGCATTGTTTCGGGTGCCACTGCAGCACCAGCCTGCTTTCCCCTCACGGCCACTCATCAGATTTTGTCACATTCAAAACATTACACTGGACAACCCACCCGGAGGGTGGCACTGGCCAAGCTCATCTCCCGTCACCACCGTCCCATCCTCACTGGCCCAGCGCTGGAGGGGGCAGGAGGATCTGGGTCAGACCCACGGGGGCTGGACAAACGCCACTCAGGGTCACTGGAACCTAATGGGAGGCAGCAGACAGACAGGACGGCAAGGGGGCTGCCCCAGACAGAGCGCCAGGCCCGGGTGGAATGAGGACACAGTTCCAACTCTGGAAGGAGTTCTGCCTCCTCCCAGGGAGCTTGGACTGGGGTGAGAAGGACAACAGGGATACACAGTGCCCCACCAGCCATCACCATCCGGCCCGAGTAAACCTCACCAGCAAGTCACTCAGACAAGTAGGTGTTCGAAACTCAGAGACCACCCCCCACAACACACATACATATTTGGTTCTCACCTTTATTCCCCAAGGTGGTTATTATCTCTTTATACTTGGATTTATAAGCCTAGTGACCTACAAATAATTTTATTCTTTCACCTACTATTCACTTGACCATAAAGTGGATGAGCTCTCAGCCAAACAGTGAAGCCTCCCACTGGTGGTGTTAACTGTTCAGAAACCACAGCACAGTTTTAAACCAAATTGTGCTTTTCCTATTTGAAAAAATAGTTTTTCCCCACATCAAGGGGTGATGACCCCATGCAAATCCCTAATGAGAAATGTTTAACCTCAGTTTAAGCGAAGTCTGAAATATTTACCAAGTTCTTTCAGAAAAAAAATTGATTTCTTGCCTTTGGCAAATATGATCTATTGAGCAAAATGGTAGAATATAAGGTATTATGGTCAAATTCCAAAATGATAACCAACCTGGTATCAAATGGATTTATTTGATCTCATTTACAGTATTACAGAGTACAGAACTCTCAAATAAGAAATCAGAGTCTGATTTTTTTTTTTTAATTTCCAAAGCTTGGTCGTAGGGGTTTGCTAGTCTTTGTAGTTTCTACTTTATTTGAAAGGGGGCTCATGAGCCCACTTCCTACTTAATATCAATATCTGACCTTTGAAATTAAAATTGACATTTATTATCCTTTCCCATTATGCCAGCATTGCCAATTACACTTAGCACCAACTTCAGATGTGACAGATGCTCACCTGCCCTCTAGCTAAAAATAGCTGTCATCGATGTCAGGAATGGCAAACGTTCCCTGCCTGCTTAATAAAAGACCATTAGGCCACTCTGTGAAACAGGTAGACAAATCCCTCGCCAAAGAGTACCCTCCACTTCACCCACCATGGGATGTCAAAAACCTTTGCATATCAGTTGCTGAGAGAGCTTTTATCCATTAAAAGCAGAGATCTAGTAGTACCCCAATTCACAAGCATAAGCTGCACACGCGATTTTGCAGAACCCAATGGTACCAGAGTTTCGGAACAAGGAGCCCAGAGACATTGGACTCAAAGAAGATTCCACAAACCTTGGCATTAGCCTCCTCTCTCAGTCTTTGCCAACACCACATAACAATTCCAGCAATGTTGCAATGGGTAATCTAGTTGAATTCCGGGTATCTACTGTGCACAGCCAATAGCGTTCTATTGGGTTTCCCTTGAAATGCATCAGTGCAATTTATACTAATTCTCCTTCTTGCTGGAAAACGTTCACAAACTATCTTAACTGCTTGAAACAATTATACTATATTGTAATTATCACACTGCCTTGTAATTATTTGCTTTGTGAATATGTCCCTCCCCCACCCACCTCCACCTCCAGGTGTGAGCTCTTTCAAAGAGTTCCCTGTGGCCTCAGTATCCACTACGTGCCTGGTACATAGAAAAACTCAGTACCTTTGGCTGAACTGAGCAAATACGAACTGAAGCTACGTCAATCACTTCTTCCTACTTAGATTCTGTTATGACCCCCATAATTTAAGTGGTTACTCAGCAAGGCTTATCAGGAATCTTGAACATCTACTGTGGGCTGCTGTTACAGTAGACCAATGTAATGCGAGAAATAGGCATTTTCAGGTATTTACATATTTGTCTCCTTAAGTGTCTACATCCAAAAAAAAAAAATTAGTAATCCTGAGTACTAGAATCTCTAAGGCAAATCTCACATTAAAGTTAAATAAGTATGTGTAAGCCTAGCTCAATGTCTAGTACATGGGAATTGCAACATTAGCCCTCTGCCCCCACGTTCTGGTTACTGTCTCTAGTAATGTCAAAGCCTGAAGGTAACAATTTGGTTAATGCCTTCCCATCCACTGACACCTGCCCTATCACTTCGGGCCAGTGGTGGCAACAATCATCCAGACACCTGGGCACAGTCTTTTTTCCTGAAACCAATGAATCGTTGCTCTGTTTTAATCTTACTCGCCCCTCTCACCTCCCGCCACCTCAATCCACCGTCGTTTCGTTGAAGCCAAACTAACAAGTGGAAGATACCTGTGGGACCCCATGCGTGCAAAACATAACTAGGCAACAACAAAGGGAAGAAAGAGGTTTTCAACCTTCTTCAAAGTTGACGGAACAATTGAGCAAACAATAAAAGACCCTCCCTCACATATAAATGTTAACTGATTTTTAGCCTTGTGATTTTGGGGGGGTGGTGAGCTGCAAGAGGAAAGAAGTGACAAATGCAACAGAAACAACTCGGAGCAGAATGTGCCCCATGAAGAACTGTGCCACCAGCAAAGGACAGCTTCCCAGACACGGACGAGCAGGACGCGCCCATGGAACAGAAAAATGAAAATAGCCAACTAACTGTTTGCTCATGAAGTCATTCTCTTACCATAATTAGAGTCTTTGAGGGCCCCTGACCAAGAAACTCCCTAACCGTTGGAGGCAGATATTCTGACCTCTGCTGCAATCACATGTGAACTGGGTCCCCAAGTCTCTCATTCTTGGGGAAACAGAAACTTGTAAGCTGAGGACGAGATCCTATGCCTTAGCGACCCACCCAGACGTAAACTCCCAACGCTATGCAGCCTGCAACCCCCAGCTGGCCTCACCCCATACATAGAATGGCACAAGGGGTTCACAGGTTGCCACTCTAATACTCCAAGCAACTCAGGAGAGGCGCTGAGGTTAGATCCCAGGAGCTGGCTTCATTAGGTAGGTGAAATCATAAACGCCTACCCGGTAATGAAGTAAGATTACCCATCATTGTCTGTTCGTTGTTTGGGGGTTTTTTTAATTTAATTTTTTTTATGTTACATTTATTTGTTGCCTTGATTTATTTTTTTAAAGTAGGCTCTCCCTCCCAAGGTGGGGCTTGAACTCATGACCCCAAGATCGAGAGTCACATGCTCTACCAACTGAGCCAGCCAGGTGCCCCTGTTTTTAATTTTAGAAGCAAACTCTTTAAATCTAACGCAATCCAAGCCAGCGGAGGCGATTCTGACCCAGGTATTGACACTTCAAGGAACTGCTGTTGTGCTCCAAGACTATCCACAGGTCTAACAGGCGCATCCATTCGTCCAGACCAGGCTGCTGATGGGCGTCCAAACCTCCGTGACCTCCAAAGGTCACCGCCAAAGAAAGAAACTCAGGTGTACTTACGAAGGGCATGCCACTCATCCTGACGGATGGTCTTCGTGATGTTGAAAGTGAGGTTCCTGGGGATGGTGGCTGAGGAGTAGTGGTATTTGATGTACGTGCATCGCTCAATTTCTCCTGCCAAAGAGAGACGGGAAACCGAACGTTAAAGAGGCAGCAACCACGTCTGGGGCAGTTTCTGGGACCCATTTTTCTGTCCTGGGGAAAGAGACTTGTTTCCTATCGGGCCTGGTGACACCTATAGTTTATACAAGGCAATAACTTCGATGCCAAAAAGTCATGTCTACTCTCCACAGAGTAGAACTAAAGTCAAACACCATCGATTTAGAAAGAAAAATACCTCTGTGGCATCATTCAGGGATGGGAAGAGCCAAAGCTTAGGCTGATAGCGGCTTGCTAAGGAAGTAGGGCCTGTGGTTGTTTAACCTTAAGAAAATCAACTTTCAAGTGATGGGAAGAGGCGTGGCATCAAAAGACAGGAACAGTTTTTGCCCATGGACCAACACGGAACAGGCTCTGGCCTTAATGAGGTCATTTGTGCCTGCAGCACCTGCCGTCTTGTGCAAGGGTGAGCCAGAGCGGCCTCTTCTCTGGCCTCCATCCCGTGCCCCAACCTCACCTCTGAGCACAAAGCCCTCAAATCCATGTCTATCTCCTTGAATCAGCCTCTTCTCAGGCTTCTTGGAAGGGGGAAAAAAAAAAAAATCAAGCCCCTTAACATACTCAACACCTGGTCCAATGGAACCTTTCCTGATAATCTGACTAGCAAAGCATGCCTTGTCAACTTATCGAAGTACTCCTGTAACTTAGAGCAGAGTTTCTCAAAGTGTGGTCCAGGGCCCACCCGCATCCTCCAGGAACTTGCTAGAAATGTCATTTCCTAGGCCTAATCCCAGAGCTGCCGAATCAGAAACTCAGAGGTAGAGCCTGCAATCTGAATTTTAATAAGCCCTCGGATGATTCTGTTGTACACCTAAGTTCGAGAACTGCTGCCCCCGAGAATCTAACAGAATTACCAATGTATTAATTCATACATCCAGCATGTTTGCAAATTCCAAAAGAAAGGACCAGCTGGGAGTTCCTTCCTTGTCACTTTTGGTCTCCTGCAGGCATGTCTTTTGATGCTTACAAATATCTGGGGAATATTAAAACTCAATGTCAGGGGATTGTAAAGAATCAGGGAAGAGGTGATTTCTAAGGGTTAGGGGTTTTAAAATGTGGTTTTGCACCTGAATAGATTTTGATGGTAATCCATTTTGCACCCCACTGATTTTCAATTTGTTAGTGGTGGCACCTGATTGAATTGTTTGACCCCTGGCTCACTGTCAGCAGGGAACCCAGCAATTGGTGGAGGACAGTAATTTAGACAGTACCTCTCATGAATCGGATGCCTTATTGTAAATCATATCTGGACAACTGCCCTACTGTCAGTTATCGGCAGACACTCCTCCAATGGGACAGACACTGTCCAGGGAGGCAAAGTTTGGAGAAAGTGTTAGACACACTTTTCCTTCTTCACCTCCTCTGCCTCTGTCCCCTTAGCCTTTAAATGTCCTCAAGTCTCTCACGTGCCCCCAGCATTCCCCCCTGACCACATCCGCACCGGGTCTTCCTTCTTCCCTAACTTGCTATCTTGCCCTGCCTTCTTGGGAAAGCTGTCTATATCAGACCATCTCAAGTAACGTTCATACCCTAAGCCCACGTGCTCTGACTTCCATGACAATCTCCATGAATAGCATCAACCTCCCATTCAGTCTACAACATAAATCCCCCGGCCATCCCCAAGGCCTCCCCCTCTCTAGTGGGGCCCATCCTCCCTGACACCCAACTGGTCACCAAATTCTGTCAGTTCTACCTCAGAAGTGTCCCTGGAAGCCAGCCCATCCTCTGTGCCCTCAGCCTCTAGAGTAGTTGTGTGAGTACAATGACCCATCTCAACAAACGGCCACATTTACTGAAGACTTGCTTGTAGGAAACACTTGCCAAGTGCTTCAGAAAACAATGGTTTCCAACTTGACTCATGTCATGGCACTCAGAGACGAGATGTGTGCAAGGCTCCCCGGGATAAACGGATGCGGCTGCCTGGGCTCCGTCAGCCTCCCTGTTAAGGAACCAACATCCCCAACCTACTTGTAACCCTCCATGTTCTGTACTTATCCCAATGGCAGAAAACCCTGTGCTGGATATTGTCTTACTTCATCCTTCATACAACCCAATTAAGTAGGCGTTCCTATGACCATCGGCATAATATGATCACATTTCACAAATGAGAGAAGAGGCTCAAAAAAATGAAGTGACCTTCTCAAGGAAAGAGCAGCACCAGGATGAGAACTCAGAAGTGTCTGACCAGAGCTTCCCTCCGCCAAGCCACCCTCCACACCGCTGCTTGGACTCTATTCCAGAAAGGAAACTGTGGTCTCTCTTACACACGGGATAAACCTCACACTCCTCAGGCAGGAGTCCCAGCCAGGTGGCCTTCCCTACCCTGCCCTGGATCGGCCGTATCCATCAGGACTCTGCACCTACTCTCCTATCTTTCTTCCCCTGATGCACACCTAACCCTCCCAAGAAGTAGCCAAAATGGTAGCTCCTGGGCAAAGCCCTTCCTTGCAGCTTAGACTGCGCCCAGCTACAGAGGGGCAGTAAGTGGTTCAACCAGGTCCCTCCGCTCTCCTCCCCGCACTCCTGCCCTCCTGCAGCAAGCACACCGATGGACTGTGATTTATCCGTTTACATGCCTCGCTCCCCCACTAGATTATGAGTTTCTCAAAGGCAGGGGCTAGTCTTACCCATTCATTTTGCTCTCCCCGGCTCCCAGCCCAGGGTGAGCACCAGTAACACGTGCTGGGAGGAAAGGAATGAATAATCGGAGGCGCCCTCTGTAAAACCACAGTGGGCAAGGCATCCAACTGTGTCTGTTCCATGCAAGGGACTAAAATAATTAAGGCAAATCAGAATCTAATGAATAAAAGGAAGTGATGGCTGCAGAACTCTGCGGCTACAGCAAACACTCCTTCCCTATCTGGATACGGTAAGGAGAGGCTTATCTGATCACAGCGAGGTGGGAAAAAACCAGATAGACGCAGAACAGCCTCTCACCGCACTTGTAAATGTAATCCAAGGGGCAACGAGGTCGAGGTTTCTGGGTTTTGTTTTGTTTTAAGAAGAAATAGGAGAGGAAAATATGAAGAGTAGAGAACTGTATCAGTTGGACTCCGCTTCGGAGACACCAAGCAAGATCTCCCTGGAAATGGCCAGACGGGTGCCCATCGCGGATGTCTGAGAAAAGTATCAGATTTCTTGGCCAAGATCAGGTTCTCTCGGGCTCAAAACAAACTCAGCAAGTGGCCACCGGTTCCAGGCAGGCTGCGGCCAGCTGCCTCCGTCTCCTCCACCCCCAGCCCCCCCAGCCACCTGACACTTGGTGCTGCAGGTGATCAGCCCAAGAGCCTGGCTGAAGCTGCTGAAACAGCCCCGCTGGAGGCCTCACTATTTGCTTTGCCTCGGGGATGCAAGCATCCTGTCTTTGACAGCAATTAAATGTGAAAGACTCAAATATTGCCTAAGAAGAGAGGCAAAATATTTATCCATGTGTCTGCAGGTCCTGTCAGTGCGCTGGGCTTTTGTAAATACAGGCACCATCTGGGCACCAAATTCATGTGCCCAGAACGTGGGCTTCCCGATACAAGTAAATTTTCCGGCAACAATCCAGAGGGGCTACCTGAGATGCAGGGGAGAAGCCCATGGCCTTCCCTGGAGGGAAGGTCAAACCTGACTCCTACATTCCAGCCCGGAGGCCTCAGCCTGGATAGGGTGGGGGCACCCTCAGGAGTGAAGACACCTTAAGCCTTCATCTATGCTCTGCCTTCGGAGCTGGTGACCCTCCTATTGGCCACCTCAGGCTCCCAGACAGACAGGATACCCAAATGGGTAGTTAAGAAGAGTTTCAAAAACAGAGAATTTACAAAGCTAAGCACAGGGTGTAAAGAGGCCAGCAATGGGGGTTGTGGGGACCTAGGGCTGGCGACAGGAGTTGGTGTAACCCCAAGCCTGGAGAAGCAGAGGGAGCAGACACCAGAACCTAGAAAGAATGGCTGCATGGAGAGGGGTGATGTGACCTTGGGCAGAGGGTCATAGCAAGCCTGTGGTGAGGTGACCAGGAATAAACACGCAACCTCTCACTCCCCGCTCCCCCAGTAGCCAAACCCTCCAGAAGCTGGAAAAGTTGGGGGAGCCTAGGAGCAGAGAGCAAGTGCAAGGTGGAGGGGACCCAAGGGGCAAAAACAGGCATCCAGCTCACTTCCCTTTTTTCCCTTTCCTCCCTTGCTCCTCTCCCATCTCCCTGGCCCTCTCTCCTCCTAAAGGCATCACTCCTATTCTCCCTTATTCCAACGTCAGCTAGCTCCTTCTCCCTTCCACCTGTCCCTGCAAAGGAAGACCTGGGGACAAGGAAGAATGGGAGACTATTCCCTTCCTTCTTCCCCATCTCAAATCCTTTAGGACCCAAGATCTAAGTGTGATAACTCAGATTAAGTCCTCAGTGTGATACTTACACACAGTTGAGTGCTCAGTACGTATTAGTTATTACTCTCAACTGCTGTCCTATGACTACTTACTCTAAGGGGGCAAGACCAAAGCAAATCAGAAATAACATTAGCAACCACTGTTTACATCATGCCGCATACATTTTCCATACATATACATACATACATAGACGTACATATTTACATATATAATGAGAGAGAAGTTTCCACACACGATAACCCTAGGAGGCTGGCAGAGCAAGAGATCTGATGTACCCTGGACATAGGAGGAAACAGACCAGGGAAGGAAGAGGCAGAGATGGCACCTAACACTGAATTCTGGATTCCAGTCATACCTTACAACACCAGTAGGCAGTTCTCCTTCTCCTGCTCATCTGCCATCAGCGAGACCTGGTTTCCGAAACACTTGTGGAAGGCTTTTATATATTAAGGAGGAACCTTCTTAGGCAAAGTGATTTGAGAGGCAGCCCTGGGACCTGCCCCCACTCTATCGAAAACTCTCTGCCCTGAATGGGTGCCATAGCACTTTCAATTCTTCCATTAGAGAGTTGTTCCTTTGGCTCAAGTACTATT